CATGGGGGTTGATCTCCTAGTATTTATTACTGTACAATTCCCAAGTAGACTTTTAATCAGAGACCTTATCACCCAGTGACCTGGTGCATAAACCAGATAATTATATTTTAGTTGCAGGCTCGCAATGTGTGTCAAATTTTAGTTTGGGGTGTTATATTGACTGATTAATTATTCACTGGGTTTTAAGTTTGTTTATTTCGCTGACTGGAAAATGTGCTAAATTAAAACCCAGTGAATATGTAAAATTTAGCATAGAACATATTACCTAAATGATAAAACCGTGAATTTAAAACCCACTGAATATGCCTGAAATGGTTAACCCAGTGAAAATTAGTCATTTTACAGAACATTTTAAACTCAAAATATGCAGATTGGTTCCAACATAGAGGTAACAAGGTGTTACCTCTATATCCCACAAGTTTGTTTATATGTCTATTATTATGACATTTTACATGGTCTTGTTTATAATCTGCACTGTTCTTCAGAAGATTGGGACAAAAATAGACAAATTTTTTGAGTAAAAACTAATAATTGACACAAATTTATTCTCTTGGTTCCTAAATTAGGGCTCATATCCAGAAATATTGAGAATATAAACAAAAAAGTGCAGAATAATTTAGGTGAGAAAGTTTAGTGGTGAAAAGGTTAATGAGAAAGCGATCTGAAGTGTCACTGTACCTACAGAGACAAAAAACATTTACTAAAAGCTAATGAATGATACACCTTACATGATGTGATGAAGTGGATTTCATTCTATACTACACTGTATTGCAAGTCTCATATACTCAGTTAATAATATTATTTTTAGTTTCTGTCAAGCACTACTGAATCTTAATTTAATGTTATATGTAGGTACATAGTGTGATTTCCCTGGAGAGAGATTGCAACATGTCATCAGTAATATTAGTATATTAGATTTTTGTGTGGCCTATGGCCTGTGTCTGGGTGTGCTGGCCTGTGTCTGGGTGTGCTGGCCTGTGTCTGGGTATGCTGGCCTGTGTCTGGGTGTGCTGGCCTGTGTCTGGGTATGCTGGCCTGTGTCTGGGTGTGCTGGCCTGTGTCTGGGTGTGCTGGCCTGTGTCTGGGTGTGCTGGCCTGTGTCTGGGTGTGCTGGCCTGTGTCTGGGTGTGCTGGCCTGTGTCTGGGTGTGCTGGCCTCTGACATTTACCTACATGTACTAATTTGGATACTGTGTTTTTTTTATTCCCATTGTTGGATT